GGGACTGCCTTGTGGGGCATGACAACACTGAGATTATGAGGCCCAGGACCCCCAGAACTGGGTTCTGTCCTGACTCCACCTCCAACACTGTATGCCCTTTGGACCTCAGTTTTCCCCCTGTAACATGATACATTTGGACTTAATGTTAACTAAGACCCATCCTGGAGTCCTGGTATGGTGCTGTGGCATAATGCACTGGACCGAAAGGTTGATATGAACTGCAAGATCAACAGTTCAAATTTACCAGCTGCTCCTCAGAAACACTATACAGGCTTACTGTGAGCCAGAACCAACTGGATAGCACTTAACAACAACAAGACCCATCCTAGCTCTGAGTTTGGGTGGCTCCAGGGAGGCAAGAGGGACATCAAACCACACGAGAACGTGTTGGAGGAACTGGAAATATGCCCAGGAGAGAAGAGCAGGTGGAAGAGCCACCATTGGACCCCTGATGATCTGTCAAGAGTCGGGTAAAAGAGGAGAGGACATGTTTGGTGTGGCACCTAAGGGTGAGAATTATAAGGAGGGGATCACTTTGACTCCCTCGTGGGAAACCTTTGGCACACTTAGAGCTACCCAATGATGGAATGGGCCACCTTGTGAAGGTGTGAGCACCCCACCATTCCAACAGAAACTGGTGGCTCCTGGCAGGGCCTCGTCAATGAGAGTCCTGGGAGAAGGGGGTATGCTTGTAAAACCCACAATCAGTACTTCTGTAGGAACATTGTACAGGGAAAGCTGCTGCTGTTGTTGTTGTTGTTGTTATGTGCCGTGGAGTCGGTTCCGACTCATAGCGAACCTGTACAGGGTTTCCGAGGCTGTAGATCTTTACGGGAGCAGAAAGCCTCATCTTTTTCCCATGGAACAGCTGGTAGTTTCAAAGTACTGACCTTGAGGCTCGCAGCCCAATTTGTAACCACTACGCTACCAGAGCTCCTTGCAGGGAAAGCTAGCAGGTTACAAAAAGATTGTTGTTGTTGTTGTTGTTAAGCTTCCAAGGAGTGACTGGTGAGCTTGAACTGCTGCCCTTGCTGTTCAAACACAAGTCGATGCCTAAAAGAAAAAAGACTGGAAGGAAAATTATCAAAACACTAATTATGGTTGGATTGTGGATCATGGTGATCTTTTTCCCTTCTGTGTCTCTTTTCCAAATGCGTAGTAGTTATTTTTGAAATGAAAACAGTTTTATTCTTTAAGAAATGTCATCTAGTCCAACCTTATCCCAGGACAGGAATCCTAGCCACAACAGTGAAACTGTCTTGTTGTTGTTAAGTGCTGTCACGCAGGTCCAACCCATAGCAACCCTGTATAAGGTTTCCAAGGAACAACTGGTGAGCTTGCGGTTCAATCCAATTTTGCAGTCTAGCACATTAACCCACAGTGTCACACCAGGACTCCTAAACTCTCTTTGGAACCCCCAAATTCTCAGAGGCTCACCCAGGTCTGATAGTCAGGTGAGGGTTGGGGGCGGGGAAGATGGGGCATGGAGGGACACCTGCTGAGCATCCAAGCCTGTACTGGGAGCACAGCCCCTGAAGGAGGGACTACAACATGATCTCCCCAGCTGTAAGTGTGTGCGGGGGAGGGGTGTTGTTATTAAGTGCCATGGAGTGAGTTCCCATTCATAGTGACCCTGTATAGGGTTTCCAAGAAGCGGCTAGTGGATTTGAACCACCAACCTATGGTTAGCAATCCAGTACTCATCTTACATCGCCACACCAGGACTCCTGGGTATGGGCTGTATTATTAAGCCCATCTAGGACCAGGGTCCAGGCCTGAGAGTCTCCACTTATGTTGCTGGAAAAGGACTCAGGGAGCGGGGAGACTGTCAAGTCCATCCCATAATCTGATGGAATAAAGTCTGGGCAGGCAGTCTTGGGACAGAATCTAGCTGACTAGGATATAAAGGGTTCCTTGTCTCCAAACTGTGAGCTTCTCTATCTCTTTCTCTCGCGCACACCCACACATGTGCATACAGCCTCAGCTAAGGTGAGAAACACTAGCGTGATTATTAGACGCTAGCATGATCACACACATGTGTCCCGTCATTTTCAACACTAGCGTGATTACTAGATGCTAACATGATCACACGTGTGTGTCCCGTCATTGTCAACACTAGCGTGATTACTAGATGCTGGCATGATCACACACATGTGCCCCATCATTTTCAACACTAGCGTGATTACTAGATGCTAACATGATCACACGTGTGTGTCCCGTCATTGTCAACACTAGCGTGATTACTAGACACTAGCATGATCACACACGTGTGTCCCGTCATTTTCAACACTAGCATGATCACTAGATGCTGGCATGATCACACACGTGTGTCCCGCCATTTTCAACACTAGCGTGATTACTAGATGCTAGCATGATCACATACGTGTGACCCATTTTCAACACTAGCATGATTACTAGACGCTAGCATGATCACATACGTGTGACCCGTTTTCAACACTAATGTGATTACTATATGCTAGCATGATTACACGCTTGTGTCCCATCATTTTCAATGCTGTTCTTCTGCAAGTACACCTTTCTTCTGAGGAGCTTCGGAGTGGCCTCTAACCTCCAACCTTTCAGTTAGCAGTTGAGCATGTTAACCACTTGCACCACCCAGGGGTTCCCAGTATGATCTGTAGCTATTGCTGTCAGCTGCCATCAAGTCGATTCTGAGTCATGGAGACCCATGTGTGTCAGAGTAGAACTGTGCTCCAAAGTGTTTTCAGTAGCTGATTCTTTGGAAGTGAATTTCTAGATCTTTCTTCTGGGTGGACTCAAACCACCAGGCTTTCAGTACAATCCATAGACTCCTTCCCCTATCAGATAATATTTCCTAATAATATTTCCATAGAAAGGCAGTTTCTCTCCCTGCCTCAGCACCCCACTCACACACTCGGCCTTCACCTCTCATCCAGTTCCTGCTCCCCATGCTCTGCTCTTCCCTTCATTCGGGGCTCCCCTCTGCCCCTTCTTCTGCCCCAGCTACCCAATCCCCTGGCCAGCACCTAATTTGGTTTTCCATAGGAGAAAGGCCTCCCTGTTCACCAGGCTATGGTGGGACGGCGCTGGCAACCTCAGTCGCCTGGAAAAAAAGACTCAGTGAATCCTGAGACACTTGGAACCCAGACAGAAAGGAATTTCTCTCTATTTTCCTTACAGCTGAGAAAACACACATGAACACAAGAGCATATTTATTGCGATATTTCTATCCCAAAGTTTACTCTTAAAAAAAGAGAGAGAAGAAATAAAATTAGTTTCTCTGCCCACTCCACCTCTACCCTCAAACCACCCCCGCCCCCCACCTTTTCATTCCTTCACATTTCCTGGTCTAGGCTAGGGAGGAAAACAGCAAACCCCCCCAGCCCCACAGAGAACCACTGCATCCCAGGACAATGTCCGGGCTTGTTCAAGGAGTCAGGGAAGAAATATAACTCTGAAAACATACACAAAACTTCCCAATGAAGGGTGTTCTCAGGGAAAAAGAACAGGTGGGTCTTGTGTCTAAACACGGGCAGGATCCCTGAGGCCTTGGGAAGAGAGGAGCCCACAAGTCTAGGCCCCTTCCCCAGAGTGGAGAGGACATCTTACCCTTTTACCCTCCGGGGGACAATTTCCTAACTTTGGTCGTTTGAAGATCTCCACAGCTCAGCGTTCCCTCCCAGCACCAGAACCTGGAGCCCCAGAGCTGTCTTATTTAGCAGTCTTTGTAGAAAAATGCCTGAGGAGAAACAAGGGGCTACTTCTCATGACTGGGATTTTCCAGACTTCTTATGGTGTGAGGGAGATGTGTCTTAGCTTTCATCTCTTTGTTGTCGGTTACAGTCAAGTTGATTCTGACTTAGGGAGACCCCATGAGTGTAGGACACCCCAAGCTGTGCTCCATAGGGTTCTCCATAGCTGGTTTTGGAAATGCCCGTACAGATAACCCTTTCATTTCCCAGGTGACCAACCTTTGTGCAATGAGTTACCGAGAGGGGTAGAAAGATGCCCCACTCCAAAGGACCGGAAGAAAGGGTCACCCAGAGTCCTGGACCCCATCATTTCTGGAATGGCAACACCAGTGCCCTTGGGATCTCTCCTGGAACTGGGGCCCCTCAGGGATGCTCCCCTTGCCCCCAAGTCTATATAAGCATGTCTGCTGGATCATGGACCATCCTGCAGAGCTGAGGTTGGGAAACCAGGATCCCTCAGCTGTGCATTACTCTAGCTGCTGAGACCAGCCAGTTGGCCATCAAAGCCACTCAAGCACACATGTATCATCACCGTGAGTCAGAATCAACAGCAACAGGAACCCGAACTTCTTGGGGTCTATCTCTGCTGGCCTGGTGGGATACAAGGTCTCCAAACAACTGCTTACAACCATGTGGGCTGTGTTTTATACAATTCCGGGGCAGCGGGGGTGGGGATCACTTTATATTGTTGTGGTTGTCACAGAATTGTGTAGTTATTGGAAGAGTATTTCTGATTTTCGTGAAGTCATTGTTTCAGCCAGCAGGAGGGCTATCGGCTCCTAGGCTCTCACTTGCCACCGTAACTGTTCATCTGTGTGTCCCACAATCTCCTCAAGAGCTCCATGGGTCTGGATCTTGCCTGAGATCTTGGGGTATACTCCATCCTAAAGCACAAATTGTTGGAGTTGAAAGTGATGAGGGCGTGGAGTTCATCAGGGGATGTTAGGCAAGCCATCTGGACCTGGGGGATTCCTGCAGATGTGGCTTCACTGTTTGGCAGGCGTAGATTCCTTGGAGAAGCTTTTCCAGCCTACTGGCTTGTAATTAATTACTCTAAGAAAACGCATCTGAATTGTGAAGATTTTATGAGGGCAGGACTTGCGGGCAAACATCTCACAGACCACATTCAGTCTCCTTATCAAGATGTAATTTCAGATCTTAGACGTGGGATTTGTCACCTGACATGTATGTCACATGATCCTCCTCAGCCTCACCATGCCGCAACTGTTCAAATCTCACCTCTGTCTTTCCTCTTCCAGGTGAAATATGACCACTTTACTGCTGGTGTTTGTGACTCTGAGGGTCATCGCTGCAACCATCTCAGTAGAATTTCCAGGTGAGAACATTCCCACTCAGGCTTCCTTTGTTCCGCAGGTAGCAAGGACTAGATTCTGGGTACCAAGAACTCACTTGTGTGTGCTGCTGCTGTTGTTAAATGTCATCGAGTCAGTTCTGATTCTTCATGACCCTGTATAGGGTTTCCAAGGAGCAGTTGGTAGATTTAAACCATTCACCTTTTGGTTACCAGACCAGTGCTTATCCTACAGGGTCTCACCAGGACTTTTGTATGCTGCTAGCCCCAGGGAAATAATCTCCCCTTCCCTGGGGCTGTTCATGTCCTTCCAAATGCACACCCACACACCGGTATATGCATGCATGCATGCACACATACACACACCTGTATACGTACGCATGCATGCATGCACACATACACATGTATGCACATCCAGGACTGCTCGCTCAGGTAATAACATTGCTCCTGGCTGCCCTCTGAGATGGACAGCTGGCAGGGAGGCCACCTAGCAGGTGCCAACCTCCCCAGTATCCTTCTCAACATGGTTGTCACCTAGAGCTCCTGCACACTGAGCTTGGAGTGAGGCAGGACAAGGAAAACCCCACCAAAGAGTAAAAACTCTCAAGGGCAGAGCAGCTGGAGCCTCAGAGAAGAGAAAAAAATCATCTGAGAAACAAGCCAAATCAAGTCTCAACAAATCAGACAAGTCTTTGCCGTTCTTGGCAAACCATCCTCAGGAAGCCCCACAGGTCTCTTGATTGTGGCTTTTGTCGTTAGGTTCCATCGAGTTGGTATCAACTCATAAAGCACAACAGAACGAAACACTACCCGATCCTGGGCCAACCTCACAATCATTGCTACGCTTGAGCCCATGGATGCTGCTACTGTGCTAATCCATCTCTTCGGAGCTCTTCCTCTATCTCTCCAACCCTCCAGTATACAAACCATGATATATCCTTCTTCAGGGACTGGGCCCTCCTGACAATACGTCCAAAGTATGAGAGACGAAATCTGGCCACCCTGGCTTCCAAGGAGCATTCTGGCTGTATTTCTTTCAACACAGATCTCTTTGTTCTTTTGGCAGTCCATGGTACTTTCAATTTTCTCCTCCAACACCATAACTCAAATGCACCAGTTCTTCTGCAGTCTTCCTTATTCACTGTCCAACTTTCACATGCATATGAGGTTATTGAAGAGACCATGGCCTGTGTCAGGCGCACCTTTAGCACTGGGTAAAGATCTGATCATCGTGCGCTTAACAAATGGACAAACCACCCACTGGCACCAAAATGGCCTTGACCCCAAAGTGGGTTTACTGATACCAGTTCCTCCCTTAGTTCCAGGCAAGAGAGCCTCTGCTCTGGGCCATACACCTGAGAGGCCCCTTCTGACTTCCAGCCCAACCCTCTCCAAAGGATGAGAAGTTATGTACACCCATACCCGTGTTCTCCCTTTAGATCACACTCTGGGTACCCAGTATGCCCAGAATCCCCTGTTCTAATGGGCCCAGTCCCCTCCAGGGTCTACATTACGCTCTACATTGTGCCTCTCCTATGAGTGGACCACATCCCTGTGTGAGTCGCCCCTTGTCTCATGAGGGACTCAGCGATGGTTATTTGCATGCAGTGTTTGACAGAGCTTAGCTGTGAACCTGGGGTGTCCACAGTATGTGTGTGGACCTTGCACAGCGCAGGGCAGAATCAGTTGGGGGAGACTGGGGCTCCCCTTCTTCCATGTTATCACATTCCATTGCTGAAATCAGTCCCATGACTCAGCTTTCATCCAAACCATAGACAGACCACCCCCAGGGAGGAACACACTCATTAGAACACTCAAGCACACGAGAGCCAATGGCATTTGCTCATTTGAGAAGGCAGAAAGGACTTGGAAAGAAAGACAAAAGGCGAACAGTAAACAGAGAGAAAATGTTAAGAATGCGGTTTCATTGCCAGGATTTCAATCACCGTCACAAAGTGAGATGTGCATGAATTATTGAATGGAATACCAACCGGCTCTGTAAACTTTCACCCAAAATACAGTAAACATAAATAAAATGAAATAAAGAGCCCATGGATTCTACATTTGAACTTAGCTTGCCAGATCATTTTGAAAGGTAGAATTATTCAATAGGAGATACTTTCTTTAACAGTCTATTGGCTTGACTGATAACTTCTAAATGCCTAGCCATTTGGTACACAGTTTGGTACTCTAGCTCTAAGGCCCACAAATACCCAGGCTCTTACTAGAACCTGGGGTGGTTTGCTCACACAGGCAGACAGTCCAGTCGGGCTTGTTGAGAACTTCAGAGTCTACAGAGCTGGGTGTGGCTCTCCCCTTCAGCTTTCCCCGGTTGCCCACCGCCACCACCAAAACCATGTGTCTTAGAAGGTGCTGGGGCAAATCTTTCAGGGGAGATGTTTGTGGAAGGGCCTGGCTGGGACTGTCTAGGATATCAAAAGGTGAGAGCTAGACTCCAAACATTCCTGACTCGCCCTTCCTTGCCCTGTTATGTATCTACCACCCACAAACATCTGAAACATTTATGTCCAACCTTTAGGTGCCCCTGGAAAGAGGATTTCACTGTGAAAAGTGCTAGTTTTTTTCCCAGAGAAGTTTCTTTCCCATTCCCGTCAGGGTCTTTTACTTCTATCGGGACTGGGTGAACCTGTGGCACCTTCCCTATGAATGCCTGCCATAGTTTTTTGTGGCGTCAGCTCATATTCCTTCAACCCCTCTGTCTGACTCTCTGCAGACAAGTGTGTCTGATTTTCTCTAAGGGTTCTCCAACGAGGCCCCTCGCATCCTTAATAGCAAAAAGAGATTGACTTATCTCCCTGAAAGGATGGTAAGGACTCCCCCAAAACTCTTGGGTGTTTTGTGTCGTCACTTCCAAAGTTGTGTGGATTATTTTCTACCACATAGTGCATTTTTTTTTATTATTATTATTTTCATGTTTACCATTACCAGTTGCCCTCATGTTGATTCTAGCTCATGGTGACCCCATGTGTGTCAGAGTAGACCTGAGCTCAATAGGATTTCTAGTGACTGGTTTTTTGGAATGAAATTACCAGACCTTTCTTTGGAGGTGCCTCTGGGTAAAGTTGAACCCCCTGTCTTTGGGTTTACAGTTGAGCACATTAACCATTTGTCCCACTCAGGGACTGGTAAACATAATTTTCCCCAAAATCATTGAATGAAGTTGTCACTCCAGGAAGACTGGTCCTATTGATCCTATACCTTTGCATCCTGTAGGGCAGGGGTTGAGAACCTTTTTCTGTCAAAATTTACAACATCATTTGTGGGCCATACAAAATTATCAACTTAATAACTAGCCTGCTATATTTGGCCAAACATTTCATTGTTGTTGTTGTTAAATGCTATAAGAGATGGTTCTGACCCACAGCAACCCTGTAAAGGGTTTCCAAGGAGCAGTTGATGAGCTTGAACTGGTGACCTTGTGGTTCAAATCAACTTTGCAGTCCAGCGCATTAACCTACAGCACCACATCAGGACTCACCCCTAATGTGATGGTTGGAACTGCAGTTACCTTGGCAGGGCCAGACCAAATGGCGCTGTGGGTTAATGCACCAGACTGCAAAGCCGTTTGAACTGCAAGATCAGTGGTTCAAACTCACCCAGCTGCTCCTCAAGAACCCTATTCAGGGTCGCTATGGGTTGGAACCAACTTGATGGCACTTAACAACAACAACATATGGCTCACAAGCCAGACGTTCCCCATCCCTGCTGTAGAGTTTGAGAAACAAAAGTGTCCCGATGCTGGTGTTCCCTTTGCCCTTCTCTGGACCCCTATTCTGGCATCATAGCTTCTGTCTTATGGTACAGAGACCAGGGGTCTTAGGAATGTGGCTCTGGAGATATGTTTTCAGATGGCACAGAAGTATCCTGATACTTCTTAGTTCAGCCCCCACTGCCCCAGTGTATTCTCAGAGACGTGCAGTCCCAGAAGGCTGCCAAGCAGGCTGGGTTATCTTCTCTAAACACTAATGGGTCTGTCTCCCACCCTACTTCCCCGACAGACCATGACACCTCATTGAGTGTGAGCATCCCTGAGCCTTCCCCTCTGCGAGTCCTCCTCGGAAGCTCCCTCACCATCCCCTGCTACTTCATCGACCCCAAGCACCCTGTGACTACCGCCCCCTTCACTGCCCCCCTCGCCCCAAGAATCAAGTGGAGCCGTGTATTCAAGGAGGAGGAGGTGGTTCTCCTGGTGGCCACCGAGGGGCATGTGCGGGTCAACAGTGCCTACCAGGACAAGATCTCACTGCCCAACTACCCAGCCATCCCCAGCGATGCCACCCTGGAGATCCAGAATCTTCGCTCCAACGACTCTGGGATCTACCGCTGTGAGGTGATGCATGGCATTGAGGACAGCCAGGCCACTGTAGAGGTGGTGGTGAAAGGTGAGCACTGCCCCCACTGACACAAGAATGGTGTCCTCGAAGGTGTGGGCCCAGCCAGACTGCCTTTCAAGTCCCGGCTCCTGCACCTGCTGCTGTGGACCTCAGTCACATCCTCTGTGGAATGGGCTGATGAGTTCACTCTCTGGAGTGTTGTGGAAACTAGATAGAGCTAAATACATCCTGGCCACTGTCACATGATCAATGACAGTTTGTGCTTCGAAATGATTTGTGGTCATCCCCATTTTGTAGACAGACAAGATGAGGTTACGTGGCTTGCCTTAAGTTACCCAGGAAGTGAGTCAGAATGCTTCGTGGCCCTTCATTCAGTTGTCTCTCCCTCCTCTCCCTGCATCCCCTCATCCCCAGTACCTGCAGCCAACGAACAGACTGAAGACTATTAACCTGGTTTCCTTTCTCTTGGTGGCCCAGGGAGAATGGCTGGTACTTGGCTGGCTTCAGGAGTTTGGTCGACATCAGATTTTTTGCAGTGCGTGGTGCAGTAGAAAGCTCTTGAAATAAGTCTCACTTCTGGGTGGGCCTTATCCGCACTTCTGCTAGGTTGCCCCTGACTAAGGGTGCCTGGGGCTATCAGTACTGTCTCTGTCCCTGAAACAAAATGGGGTCCTGGAATGACAAGAGAAAACTACAAGGAAGCACACAGATTTGGGTTCAATTCAAAGAAGGACGTTCTGATTATCAGAGGAATTGAAAAGGGGACATCTGTGAGGTAGTGAGCTCCCTGTCGCTGTGGGTGTTCCAAGAAAGACAGAGGGCCTACATGCAAATGTGGACAGGGCACCCATGCTATAGGCCCAGAGTAGATGACCCTAAGATTCCTTTTGATGATTGTTGTCGTTCCGAGGGTCTCAATGCCTAAAAGCAACTGTGTTTGACCCGCTCTCTCATCTGCTTGCCCTGCCTGCAGGCATCGTGTTCCATTACAGAGCCATTTCCACGCGGTACACTCTGGACTTTGACAAGGCGCAGCGGGCCTGCCTGCAGAACAGTGCCATCATCGCCACACCCGAGCAGCTGCAGGCCGCCTATGAGGATGGCTACCACCAGTGTGACGCTGGCTGGCTGGCCGACCAGACCGTCAGGTGAGCTCCCCGCCCGCAGCCAAGTGGACACTCCAGCCTGGGGACTGCAGTGCAGAGGCCACAGTGGAGTGAGACAGATGGTGGTTCCGGCCTGACACTGAGGCTGGCCAAGACTCAGCCAGGAACCCATCAATCTATCCCCAATTCTTGTTATTTGGCCTTGTGGTAGAAGGAAGGGCTTCTGGCAACTCTGCTTTTAAAAACTAGTTGTCATCAAGTTGACAGTCACTCCTGATGACCCCATGTGTGTCCGAGGAGAATGATGCTCCCTAGGGTTTTCAACCACTGATTTTTCGGAAGTAGAACAATCACCAGGCCTTTCTTCCAAGGTGCTTCTGGTTGGATTTGAACTCATCACCTTTTGGTTAGCACGTTAGCTATTTGTACCACTCCAGGGACTCCAGCAGCCTTGCCTTACGTGAGCATTTTCTCTGTGCAAATTACACATTCTTACCCATTTTCCTCCTATACCACAATTCCCTCTCTTACTAATTTATGTTGTGTTTAGTTTTTTAATTGAAATGTTCTTATGTATTCTTGTAGATCATGTATACTCACTCCCTTCTTGTTTTTAACAAGCAATATACATATATCAATCTTCTTCGCACCTTTTTTCCTGAGTGCTTGTAAGGAGGGGTAGGCTTGCAAAGCTGTCTGGAGATAGAGCCCTGCCCTGAAGCCATCACAATTTGTTTTAAATAAACCTGTTAAAACCAGATTTGATGATTAATTCCAGGTGCACCACAGCTCTAACAGTAAGAGCTTGAACCACAAAGCCTCTACAAGGAAACAAAGGCAAATTTGAACTGACCACGTTTTGGTTAGTGGTTAAGCATGGTAGCTATTTGCACCACTCAGAGGTTTAGCATAAAGTCAGAATCCATACCTCAAACCCCAATACTTGTAAGCTGTGTGACCTTGGACAAATTGCTTAACATCTCTGAGCCCCAGTTTTCTCAATGTAAAAAAAACTTGTTTTAGCATCTACCTCATTATGTTGATGTGAGAATCAAATGACACAGCATTAGACTCAGTAAACTACAACCTGAGGGCCAAATTCAACTACTTCCTATTTTTGTCAATAAAGTTTTATTGGAACTAGCCATGCCTATCATTTACACAGTGTAACTGCAAAGTCAAGACTTGCAACAGAGACTGCATGGCCTACTAAGCCTCAAATATTTACTATGTAGCCTTTACAGAACTAGTTTGCTGGCCTGTGTTAGAGCACTATGTCCGGTACCAAGAAATATCAGACAAAGAGGCTTACTTTAGTCATTGGTAACAGTATAAACAGATCGAGGACACTCAGGGCCAAATGCATGACCTGGTCATCTTGTTCTCCTATGAGGGAAAACATAAGATCCAGGCCACTTGGCTTCCTTACTATCCCCTGAGTGTCACACCCTCACTTTGCAGATACCCCATCCACCAGCCCCGGGAAGCCTGCTATGGAGACAGGGATGAGTTTCCTGGAGTGCGAACCTACGGCATTCGCGACACCAACGAGACCTACGACGTGTACTGCTTCGCTGAGCAGATGGAGGGTGAGACTGCCCAGCTTACCCCTTCACCCCTCTTGCACTCCTGGTCACACCGCGTCTTCTGAGTCAGAACACTAACTCAGACATTTCTCTGCTTGACACCTTTGGCCCTTGGCTCTGCTGTGCCCAGAGGGAATGGAGTTGGGAAGAGAGGAACCCCTTACCCCTGCCTTCAGAAAGGGCCTTCGTGGCCCCAAACCCAAAATAAAAACTAAACTCACATCCATTGAGTCGATTCTGACTCATAGCAACCCTTCATAGGGTGTCCAAGACTGTAACTCTTCACAGAAACAAACTTTGTCCTGAGGAGCGGCTGGTGAGTTTGAACCAACAACCTTAGCAGCCTAACCCAAGTGGCTTTCAATGGTCCAGAAGTCACGATTGATTCCAAAAACTGGTATCAGATCTCTCATTTGGGATTCCATCGCTGTCCCAGGATCCTTGTGCCATCTGAACTCAGCCTTATCATCTCCACAAGGGACACCCAGGCCACTCCTGGGTGGGCCCATGTGAAACATAGTTCCAGGAGAGCTGTCTCTCCAGCCACCCTATCTCAGCTCTGCTGCTGCCAGCCCCCAGCCCTGTTCCAGGCCAAGTTCTAGATGCAAAAGGGTTTTAACTGTGATCACAGAGCTGCCCACAGTACCCAAACATGGAAGCAACCCCCTCCCTCCACTGCCTTTCAACATTCCAGACTCGCTTGGCCCTCTTAGACACCTGCTCACAACTCCCAGAAGGCTGGGAGAAGACCAAAGCTCTGGCCCCCTCTCTCACCACCATTGCCCCTTGCCTTATTTTCACCGCAGGGGCCAAGGTGGCCTGTCAAGAAACAAGTATTTGGGTTCCCATTTTGGGTTAACATAAGACAAACAGCTGTAGAATAAACACTGGACTGTGCACCACCAGGTCAAACCCACTAGCTGCTCCTCAAAAACCCTGTACAGTCATTATGAGTCAAAACCGACTCGACATCACTTAACAATAACAACATAACAAATATAACAGCCAATTAGAGCTGCTATTTAGGAACCAGTATTCTCCCTGAGAAAAACCCACTGCCCCCATCCCTACCCCTGGCACAACCTTGTCAGGTTATTGGAAATAGGTTGCTGTTTAAAAACTAAATAAATAAATAAGAGCTTATAGGTCCTATCAAATGCCCTGATAAACTCCTCAGGGTCAAGATCCTCCCCTCCCCCACCACTGTTAGGAAAACACTGCTCTAGGGGTCAGGGTCTGACACTTGCTTTTCCTGTAAGAACTGAAATGTTTCTCAGGAGTCTCCTTTAGGTGGGCAATGCTGAACTCATGGAAAAGACCTCGTCGTGGTGGAATGTTTCAGAGCAAACTATCCAGCGGCAAAGATACTTTTGGGCAGGGGGAGTTTCAGCCCTCAAATTGACTCTACCCTTCCCCCACCTCTTTGCCCTTTGGGCTACTACCTTCTTCTTCTCTTTTCAAAATTGTGCTACAGATAATACAAGGAGGTGTCAAAAAAAAGTTCATGCAAAAAATTCCCTGATCTTTGAATTCTGTTTTCCCATGAACTTTTTGAAACCCCTTCTAGTCAATGACTCATCCTTACCCCTCCATCCCACCTCTGGTATCCAGTAATCAACTTTGGACTCTACATTTGTTCCTTCTACCACATGGGTAAGGAGCTCTGGTAGTGTAGTGGTTACGAATCAGGCTGTTAATCTCAGGGTCAGCAGTTCGAAACTACTAGCTGTTGCGTGGGAGAAAGATGAGGCTTTCTGCTCCCGTAAAGATTTACAGCCTCGGAACCCCTGTATCGGGTCGCTATGAGTCGTACAGAGAACTGACTTCACAGCACATAACTACCACCACCACCACCACATGGATCAACCCTGAGAACATTTTTTTTTAAACTGTGCCAAGTCGACTCCAACTGCTGGTGACCCATATGTGTCAGAGTAGAACAATGCTCCCTAGGGTTTTCAGTAGCTGGTTTTTCACACGTAGATCACCAGGCCTTTCCTCTGAGGTACTTACTTCCGGGTGGAGTTGAACCTTCATCCTTTTGGTTAGTGGTCAAGCACGTTAACTGTTTGCAGCACCAGCCCTCATGGTGGTGCATGGCTCTCTCTGGGGATGCCAGGTGGAAGAGGTGGGGAGGAGTCCTCACCCTGCTGCTGTGTCCCTTACAGGTGAAGTCTTTTATGCCAGGTCCCCCAAGAAGTTCACCTTCCAGGAAGCAGCCATGGAGTGTCGGCGACTGGGTGCCCGGCTGGCCACCACGGGCCAGCTGTACCTGGCCTGGCAGAATGGCATGGACATGTGCACTGCTGGATGGCTGGCCGACCGCAGTGTGCGCTACCCCATCAATAATGCCCGGCCCAGATGTGGGGGCAACCTCGTGGGTGTGAGGACCGTCTACATGCACAGCAACCAGACCGGCTACCCAGACCCTTTATCCCGATACGCCGCCATCTGCTACACAGGTGGGAAGGGGCTCAGAGGAAAAGAAGAACTGGGAAAGGTGGGGAGGTGTTGGTTCTCATCCCTTCAAGGAACCACTGAGAACCTGAACCTCATAGTTTTGGTAACCAGTTATCCTGTTGCCATTAAGACAATTCCAACTCAGTGTGACCACTTGTGTGTCAGAGAACTGTGCTCTACAAGGTTTTTAATGGTTGAGTTTTCAGATGTAGTAGAGAGCAAACCTTTCATCCAAGGCACCTTGGGATATTTTCAAACCTAGAAACTGAGCACATTAACCATTTACACTACCCAGGGACTCTCACCACCTCCCGCTCCCTCCTCCTGTGTGCGCGTGCGCACACACACACTTATTGGTCCCTAGGATGTCTGATGTGGCGCTGTCCTGTCAGCACTGGATTTCAAACCACAAGGTCTGCAGTTCAAACCTACCAACTGCTCTTTGGAAACCCAATACAGGGTCGCTATGAGTTGGAACTGACTTAACAGCACTTCGCAACAACAACAACAAGATTGTTGTTGCGAAGTGCTGTCGAGTCGATTCCGACCCATAGCGACCTTGTATAGGGTTTCCGAGGAGCAGCTGGTGAGCTCGAACCACCGACCTTGCAGTTCAAACGGCTTTGCAGTCTGGCGCATTAACCCACAGCACCACACCAGGACTCCACAACAGGGTAGGCCAAGTGTAATTGAAGAGAAGGGAAAGTTTTGATAGGGTCTTCAAGATTTAGACTAAAATAATTTGACTATACCTATAACTTGTATTTACCAAGAAATAGACTCCTTAAGCCCTAATTACACTAAGTGCTGATTCTCAAGGGGGGAAACAGTGGAGGAGAGGTTACATACATTTATGCAGAATTGGTGATGGTCACTGCTATGAAGTGCCGTGGAGTTGGTTCTGACTCATAGTGACCCTGTATAGGGTCTCCAAGGAGTGAATGGTGAGCTTGAACCACCAACTTTGCTGTTCAAACCGCCCTTGCAGTCCTGTGCATTAACCCGCAGCGCCACACCATGATTCCTTGACCTAAAGATTTAGCAGGCTAATTTTTAAATTTTCTGCCAAAATTTTGTATGGCCCATGAATGATGTTATAAATTTTGGCAGAAGAAAGATTTCCCACTGATGTTCTAGTAGGATGAGACAGGCAATAAATATTAAACACAATAGAAGCATAAATTACACAGTGTGACAGAAATGGGGAAATCTCATGGAACAGCTAGAGGGGCACAGGGAAGGGAATCCAGTGGCTGGGGTGAGGTTACACATGAAATGGATGATCAGAGAGGTTTTCAAGGAGAAAGTGAACTTGAACATGGACTTGTGAGGAGGTGCATTTTCACTCTCCTGATTGATAAGTAAGGAGCCTTGGTGACTCCATGGGTTAAGCATTGGGCTACTAACCAAAAGGTCAGCAGTTCGAACCCACCAGATACTCTGCAGGAGAAAGATGAGGCTATCAGCTCCCATATAGATTTACCACCTCATAAACCCTATAGAGCAGTTCTACTCTGTCCTATAGGGTTGCGAGGAGTTGGAATCGACTAGACAACTGTGGGTTTAGTTTTGAGTTGGCGAGTGCTAAGCGGGCAAGTCTACATGGAATGGTGGAAGTTACTCTGGGGTGTCTTTTCTTATCATTTATTTTATTTTTCGTGGTTGTTGAGAGTTCTTTCCATTGTTTTAAAAATATAGAGAGATCATACATTTGCCAACTCACAATTCAATACAACCAGTTGTGTCCTTCATGTGTGCAGCCATCACCAACCACTGGTTTTGAAGTCCTTTTATTCTCAGAGAGTTTCTCTTTTTTAATAGCTATCTAGTCTGTTCGGGCCTCACTTGTCTGTGACTCTCATGGAGGTGGTTAACATGTATGGCACTGTGGGTTAAGGCGCTGGACTGCAAAATTGATTTGAGCCACAAGGCCGGTAGTTCAAGCTCACCAGCTGCTCCTTGGAAACTCTTTACAGGTCTCTATGGATTGGAACTGACTTGACAGCACTTAACAACACCCAACGTCACTTTCATCCATTTTACTCCCTCCCACATCTTCTGCAAGATTTCAGGGTTTCCCTCTATCGTTGATTTGCATTGCCCTTTGGATTGTTACAATTTCAGATGGTCAGTAAGGCGGGTGCTGTTGTTACATGCCATCAAGTCAGTTCTGACCCATAGAGACCCTATGAGTCAGAACGGGCTCAATGGCATTTAACAACAGCAATAGAATAAAGAATAATGGGAAGATTACCTCAAATAGGGAGACTCCTTCAGTGAGCTGGGCCAGGATCCTGGTACAAAGAAGGAGAAGGACCCAAAGCCCTCTCCAGCCTGTCCCTCATGCCCCTCAAGGCAGCCCAGTCTGAGCCCTTAGAATGTGTCTTTGTCCCTGCCCCAGGTGAAGACTTCTTGGACATACCAGATAACTTCTTTGATGAGGGTGGTGAGGAAGACATCACCATCCAGACAGTGACCTGGCCTGAAGTGGAACTACCCCTGCCCCGAAACACCACTGAGGGTGAAGCCAGGGGTAACGTGATTGTTACAGTGAGACCCATCTTCAACGTCTCACCCACTGTCCCGGGGCCCTTTGCCCCAGTCCCTGCCTTCCCTGAGGCTGAGAACCAGACTAGAGAGACCGCCAGCACCTGGGACTTTCCCGAGGAACCCACGTCAGGACTGGGACCTGACTCGACCTTCACAGACGAAGACTTGTTCATGCCAGTGACCGCCGCTCCAGATGGAGTCCAGGTCCCAAGGGGTAAGTATCCACCCTTAGGGGATGCTTACAAGAGGTAGTGAAAAGAACTGGCCTGGGCATCAGGAGGACATTCTGGCTGTCCCTTAACTTATGCTGGGACTGGGGGTCTGAGCCAAACCTCTCTCCTCTCAGCCTTGGAATTCCTCATCTGTAAAACAAAGGGGGTCGATAGACCAGACCACTCATATCCCTAGCATGTTTGTCTTTGTCTTCTTTTAATCATATTTTATTGTACCTTGGGTGAAATTTTACACAGCAAACTAGGTTCCCATTTGACACACTATTTGGTGACATTAGGTACATTTATCACAAGGTGTCAGTGTTCCCTTTCATTGGCTTCTGGTTGTCCTGTTTCCAGTACTCTAGTTTCCCTGCCCCCTTCTCACCCTTGCTTTAGCGTAAATGCCAGCCTTTTGTCTTGTGTAGGTGGTTTTTCAGTAGCGCACAATACTCACATGTAATATCCTTTATTTTGTGGGTCATTTTGTTGTTTCCACAAAAGATGCTCTCGGGGAAGTCTCAGTTCAAGGTTTAAAGAATATCTCGAGGTGATAGACTCAGGGAGTCCTCTGGTCTAATCTGATCCAGCTAATCTGGGCTTTTTTAAGAAGCTGAATTTTGTTCTATATTTTTCTCCCATTCTACCTCAAACTCTTTTGCTAAAAAGCATTTATTTCAAATAACATCATACATGGTCACTCAGTACGTACCTTAGATAAAGGGGGCACAGAGATCCAGGAGAAGTTGGGTTCAGACCTGGGATTCTTCGCTCTATGGGTCCTTTTGCCCCATCATACACCTCCAGAAAATAGAACCAGCAAACTATGGCCCATGGACCAAATCCAGCCTGCCACCTGTCTTCTTATGAACTATGAGCTGAGTGGTTTTACATGACATTTGAGATCTTTTATGAAATTCTAATTTCAGTGCCCATGAGAAATGTTTGCAGGAATACATCCACCCCCATTTGTTAATATGTTGTCTACGGCTGGCTGAGATCAACAATGGCAGAGTTGAGTCATTGTGAATGAGTTGTTCATAAAGCCTAAAATATTTACTATCTAGACCTTTCCAGAAAAGACTTGCTGAGCCATGTTTTAGGGTGATGGTGTTCCAGGTGCTTAATAAATGTCTGGAAAATTAGGATGCCACATAGAGCTCAGCTGCTCCCCCAAACAGAACTTTCTGGGGTGGCCTTCATGAAAGCCAGCCTTAGTGATGGTCCCTCCCAGGACATGGCCATCCAATCCCCACACCTGTAATGCTACCAAAGGAACTGCCCAGATACATACAGCAGGTTGGAGAAGAGGGGTTGTTGAGAAGTTTGGGGTAACATCATTAGTGGCTGACCCCAGGGTTGCCCAGGACTAGAATGAGCTCTACTGGCCACCATAGATAGACAGTACCAACAGACAATGACTGTCTGACTCAATACAGGACAAAGAAGACGGGACAGATGCAGGCTGGGAGTTCACAGCCTGTGGTATACAGCCAGCTGCTCAGAGAAAAGTCAAAAACAAATATGTATTCAGCCGAGTACAATATTGGTCAAGGGCTGGTAACCTGTTTGTGAGCCATACCTTTGAGAATCTGACAAAAGCTAGGGACAACTCAGAAATAATCTACTGCACACCCATACAAATGTTTGCAGACACACCCAGTAGGGCGTCCCACCCCCAGAGCCCTAGACCAGGAACCAGGCAAAAGAATTACCAGTGATACTTTGATTTCCTCCTCATCCTTCTGGATGTTTCCTAAATGTTCTGTGATTAACACTTCTCTCTTAAAACAGCTTTTTTATAGCTTTTTTTTTTTTTTTGTCTTAAAGAGTAAGTGGACAATGAGCAGCCGTGGTATGATGAACCCAGAAAGGGAGAGTTTAGAACACCCAGGGTCTCAAAGGGCTTTGCAGGGAGTTGACTGTCAATGGGGAAACATAAGTGATTTATGGGGGATTAGGGATGGAAGAAGGGGAGATCATTCATTAAAAAGCCAGGGTACCCACCGCATCCCACTCTGTGCTCTCGTGGACCCCTTCCTCTTTCTCCTCCCATCCAGGGGTCGTGTTCCACTACCGCCCTCAATCCACCCGCTACTCCCTGACCTATGAAGAGGCGCAGCGGGCCTGCCTACGCGCAGGCGCAGTCATCGCCTCCCCAGAACAGCTCCAGGCGGCCTACGAAGCCGGATACGAGCAGTGTGACGCTGGCTGGCTGCGGGACCAGACAGTCAGGTAAACGAAGGGCCCAGCTCCCCCTCCCGGGCCACCCTAGGGGAAGATGGCACCACATCCATCACAAAGCAAGGACCCAATCCATTGTGGTTCATTACTCCCTTAGTCTCTCCCCAGATGAGTCATATTCTGAGAAGGTGAATATGATTTATCAGGCTAAGTCCTCGGGAATCTCCTCCCACTCCCAAGAGACCCCTCCTCTGGCCACCCAGCACCCTTCCATGGGGCTCACCATCTTCGGAAGCCATCAGACAAGAACATTCACCTGCTCAAGTCCCCAAGGCAGATGCTAGTCTTATCCTGGGGCCCTAAGAGCAGACCCTTAACCTCGACTCCCATGCTCCTTTGCAGATACCCCATTGTGAATCCACGGGCTGCATGTGTGGGTGACAAGAACAGTAGCCCGGGGGTCAGGAACTACGGTGTGCGCCCATCAACGGAAACCTACGATGTCTACTGCTACGTGGACAAACTCGACGGTACAGACCACATCCTCAGGGAGCTAAGGGGCAATACTAGAGGGAGGGACCTGTCACCATCTCACACACACACACACAAACACACACACACACCGCCCCTCACTCAGGTCAAGACCCTGTCTCTCTGCTTGATGGTTCCTGAGACTTCCTCAGCATTGTGGGTAAATAAATCCACTTCTTCTAAATGAATGCTACACACACCACCTGCCACTTGTGGCGTCCCAATGCCCAGGAGTAAATCCAAGGTTCTAAGACGTCTTGTAGTAACAAAGAAAGAAAAAAGACTTTTAACCCAGCATTTCCCAAACTATTTTGACCTTTTATTTTGTTTTGTTTCACTTAGTTTCATTTCAACTAAAATTCCTCCAAGTTAGTATTCCAATGAATCCAGTTTTTGGAAATACTGATATGCTGGAAATAATTGACACCCCCTTGTTTGGGGGCCTTGGGCAAGTTACTTAGCCTCCAAGGACTAGGCCTCAGTTTTCTCGTCTGTAAAATGGGCCTGATTTATATTCACATCAGAGGCTTTTGAGTTTTCAATGAGGTATGTAGGAAAGGTACCTGATACATGTGGATAAATCAGCTTTCTTTCCCCTAAATCGGGTAGGGTGCTGTTGTTGTTGTGAAGTGCTGTCGAGTTGGTTCTGCCTCATAGCTACCCTAAAAGGGTTTCTAAGGAACGGCTGGTGAGTTTGAACCACCTAACCTGAGATTCAAACTGACCTTGTAGTCCAGTGCATTAACCCGCAGTGCCACATCAGTTAGGGTGCTAGGCAGTAGAAAGCAGTGGTCACAGGACCTAACCCCTGACTCAGTGAGTTCTCAGGGTGGGGGTGGGGGGAATGGGCAGTTCAGTAAGAATCGCACTGCCCATAGTAAGTACTGCCGTGTAGGACAGGGCAGCACAAGGGAGCTGCCCCTTTTAGCAAGAGTTGTTGTTGTTGTTGTTGTTATGTGCTATGGAGTTGGTTCCGCCTCATAGTGACCCTGTATAGGGTTTCCAAGGCTGTAAATCTTTATGGGAGCAGAAAGCCTCATCTTTCTTCCATGGAACAGCTGGTAGTTTTGAACTGCCGACTTTGAGGTTAGCAGCCCAATTCGTAACCACTACACTACCAGAGCTGTCAATTGCTGTCAAGTTGCTTCCACCCATAGTGGCCCTGTATAGGGTTTCAAAGGAGTGACTGGTGAGTTTGAACCACAGATCTTGTCATTCAAATCAACTTTACAATCTAGCGCATTGACCCACAACACCACACCAAGATTCCCTTAGTGGGAGAGGGGGACCTAAATGTCACCAGAGAAAAGAAGGAAGAATGACTGGGAGTTTCCCAGTAGAGTCATCAACTGGTCCCAGTTTGGCTGAGACACCCCCTTTTTCTTTAGCACTGAAAGCCCCAATTCCCTAGTCTCATACAAACCAGCACCCCGGTGTCCTGGGAGTTCTGAGTGAGCAGTTGAGACGGGGCGTGTGTGAGCTGGACAGGGTTTTGAGATTGTGTATGCTGTGCAGGTGGGGATCCTGGTAAGCAGGGCCAAGGGTAGGTATGGAATGAGTGGGAGCCCTTTCCCTAGCTTGGAAGGTCCCAAACAGCCACCTGCCTCTGCCCCCAGGAGAGGTGTTCTTCGCCACACGCCTGGAGCAGTTCACCTTCCAGGAAGCTCTGGAATTCTGTGAATCCCAAAACGCCACGCTGGCCTCCACGGGCCAGCTCTACGCTGCCTGGAGCCGTGGCCTGGACAAATGCTATGCTGGCTGGCTGGCTGACGGTACCCTTCGCTACCCCATCACCAGCCCGAGGCCCGCCTGCGGTGGGAATAAGCCGGGTGTAAGGACTGTATACCTCTACGACAACCAGACTGGCCTCCCAAACCCGCTGTCTCGGCACCATGCCTTCTGTTTCCGAGGTACGTGCCTCAATATCCCCTTTGTCTTGGAGGCAGCTCCCTTAGGCTCACCCTTCTTGGCCCTGCCCGCTCTAACCCTCCATCACAGCAAGGGGGAGTATGGAAGTCAGTCCTGCTGGGGCTGGGGCAGTTGAGGAGCTAGCATGACAATTGGCCTTGAACTCAAGGCAAGTATGCCCTTCTAAAGATCCTAGGCAAGTCCCCTAAACTCTCTGCTTTATCTCTTACAAAATGGTGATGTAATACATCAAGGGGTGCGGTGCGGATTAGCTGGAATGATGTGCATGGAGCCCTTGGCATAGTGCATGGGACAGAGCAAGTACTCACTAAATGTTAGCTTTTATTATTATTAGTTGTATATGAATTATTTCAATTTTTGCATCCTACTCAAATTTTCTCCTGCTGGTGAATATTTTTGAGATGCATTTATTTTCTTATTCCTAGTTTTAATTGAGCCATGCTATGTCAACCCTGTTACTCCATTGAGGTCATCAACTCAGTTCATTGCTGAGCTCTGATTGGATGAGTTCTCAGGGGTCCTTGAGTGTAGGCTTATAAGTGTGTAGATGGTAGAAACTGCTCGTGCTATCGTTTACACGTTATACAACTGAATTGGTGGGGAAAGGAACCCAACTTCTGTGCTGGATAATATGAAAGAATGAGTTTACTGGGGGGCAGGAGGCAGGGGGCAGAGCATGGCTAGGAATTTAGTCTCATACTCCCAGAGCAGGGAGGAGTCCTGAGACAAATCCTCTGGAAGTGGATTTATAATTCTTCTCTGCAACTTCTTTTTAATCTATCATTATTTCAAGATAAAGTTTTAAAAAAACCAACACATGTTCCCTAAAGTTTCCCAGACTCCAAGATCATCTTGCAAAACCAGAATCAAAGTTAATTCAGCCCTATTCCACCAGCCTCAGGGAGACCCATCCCCTCCCAGAGATTAACTGTCACTTCACTTCTTTGAATCTCAGTTTCCACATCTGTCAAATGGGATAGCAGTATGGATCTCCTCAGGTTATTGTACAATTAAATGACTTAACTGTACATAAAGCCCTTAGAACCCTGTCTGGCATGTTTGATTTGCCGCAGGCTGCCCTGGACATCACTGCTGAAGGTGCGTGCATGTTGTTATTGTATAGTGGTGGTGTGCTATGGAGTCAGTTCCAACTCATAGCGACCCTATACAGAGTTTCCAAGGCTGTAAATCTTTACAGGAGCAGAAAGCTTCATCTTTCTCCCATGGACCAACTGGTAGTTTCAAACTGCTGACCTTGAGGTTCACAGCACAACTCTTAACCCCACCGCTACCAGATGTTTTGTAGTTGCTGTGTATGGCTTTCATTCTTTGAGAAGGCAAACAGCCATCACCTGCCCTGGGCAGGGAAGAAGTGGCCCAGCCAGCCAGGCCCTTATACACAGTCCCTGGTTCCTCTCCAGAAGGCCAGCCTGGAAGGGGTCACAGAGGAGGGAGGGAACCTGACCATTCACATCCCCTTCAGGTATTTCAGCGGTGCCTTCTCTAAGAGAAGAGGAGAATGGCGAACTCACACCAACCCCCAGCTTGGAGGACTGGATCGCTACCCAGGTGGTACCTGGCAGGGCTGTTGCCCCGTTGGGGAGAGAGATGACCACAGTCCCCAGCTATACTACTGAGTCAGAAACACAGACGGAATGGAGACCAACCTATACCCCAGTAGACACTTCTCCACTATCAGGTTGGTACGGGGCATGCCCTGAAGTCCCAGATGCCTGCCTGGCTAGGGTGTGTCCAGGGATAGCTTCTCCACTTGTGTGCTGGCTGCTGTGGGTACTCAGCCACCTCAGCTGGCCTCTAGGCTCTTCCCTGCTGAGAGTAATCCTGGTCCCTTCCTTCTTCTTTCTGTCCCATTAGAAAGTGTCTGAACACATCACTGAACTCTTGAGAGAAAAGTTTTACTGTGGAAAGAATAGAGTGTAGTTTCTCCTATAAGATCTTAAAATGGGAACAAGTTAATAAACCTTTGCCTCCTTTTTCTTCCTCTTTTTCTTCAGGGATCCCTTCCATTGACTCAACAACGGAGGAAGCTATGGAAAGTCCTTCTGTATCGGAAGTACCCTCTGTGTCTAAGAAGCCATTCACCTCAGAGGAACCGTCCACCTCGGAGGAACCGTCCACCTCGGAGGAACCATCCACCTCGGAGGAACCGTCCACCTCGGAGGAACCATCCACCTCTGAGGAACCATCCACCTCTGAGGAACCCTCCTCCTCTGAGAAACCATATACACCTTCACTCTTAGTGCCTAGTGAGACTGCGCTGCCAGGCTCTGGGGAGACACCTGGGGCTCCCGAAGTCAGTGGTGACTTCACAGGCAGTGGAAAAGCTCCAGGAGGCTTTGACTCTAGTGGACAGCCCTCAGGAGAAAGTGCAAGTGGACTACCCTCTGGAGACCTTGATTCCAGTGGACACATTTCCACAGTGGGCTCAGGCCTACCTACAGGAAGTGGACTGGCCTCAGGTGAAGAAGACAGAATTGAGTGGTCCAGCACACCTGAGATTGGCAAGCCATCCACTGGAGGCGAGGCCATAGAGGGCTCTGTTTCTGGAGGAGGGGACTTCAGTGAACTTCCTTCTGGAACAGAAGGTCTTGAGACCTCTGCTTCTGGAGTAGGGGACCTCAGTCAACTTCCTTCTGGAGGAGAACATATAGAGACTTCTGCTTCTGGAGTAGGAGACCTCAGTGGGCTTCCTTCTGAAGGAGAAGGTATAGAAACCTCTGCTTCTGGAGTAGAGGACCTCAGTGGGCTTTCTTCTGGAAGAGAAGGTCCAGAGACATCTGCTTCTGGAGTAGGAGATCTCAGTGAACTTCCTTCTGAAGGAGAAGGTCTAGAAACTTCTGCTTCTGGAGTAGGAGATCTTAGTGGACTTGCTTCTGGGAGAGAAGATGTAGAGACTCCTTCTGGTGTAGGGGACCTCAGCGGACTTCCTTCTGGAACAGAAGGTATAGAGACTTCTGCTTCTGGTGTAGGAGACCTCAGTGGAATTTCTTCTGGAAGAGAAGATCTAGAGACTCCTTCTTCTGGAGTAGGGGACTTCAGTGGACTTTCTTCTGGAACAGAAGTTATAGAGACTTCTACTTCTGGAGTAGGAGACCTCAGTGAACTTTCTTCTGGAACAGAAGGCATAGAGACCTCTGCTTCTGGTATAGGGGACCTCAGTGGAGTTTCTTCTGGAAGAGAAGATCTAGAGATTCCTTCTTCTGGAGTAGGAGACCTCAGTGAACTTTCTTCTGGAACAGAAGGTATAGAGACTTCTGCTTCTGGAATAGGAGACCTCAGTGAACTTTCTTCTGGAACAGAA